CTTATCGAAGCTCCTTCGCCTCGTAGAGCTTAGTCCAATTGCTGTTAGTGGCTCATTCACCAGAATGTCCCCCTCCCCCAACGACATGGGCGCCCTGCATCAATTTCAGATCATATTCGTTCTATCGCTAGGTTCCCTCCTATCATGTTAGGAGTATTGGTGCTGGTAAAGTAGACATCGAGGGTCTTATGCGTTGAAGCCTGGAACCCGGCAAGACTTCAATGTCTCTTTAGTCGGTGAAAAGGACCGCGCGCAACTGAGATGGCTGTTACAGGTTGACCCTGTCGTACAGGGCAATTCTAGTCACTCGTTCTTCTGGCTAAATTTCGTCTCCTTGTGACAACAAAAAAGTTGCTCGATCTTCCGGTCGGAAATTGTGTTTCATCACCTTTTCATTCACATCGAAATTGAATGGAACCAAAAAACGAATAATTTCTATATAGCTCTGCCAACAATCAGAATGGGGACTCACTCCCGCTTGCTCAGCTTGGCACATTTTTTCTGCGCTGAAAGAATGGGGATGCTTGTAGTAAGAAAAGGGGAGCGGGTAAGTTAACAGGAAAATCAAAAACGCAGTTTACACTGACCACGAACAACATTGACCGGAATGAACGAGGAAACCGGTAAATCGTGGATGATCATCATGCGATAATGAAGAGGAGATCAGTGATAAGCAGCGGCTGATATCGATGGATATTTAAGCAGTGCTGCGGGGTGTTCAACCATTTTGCTTACTAACATGCCGAGCACACGAAGAAGAAGTAAAACTCCTTGTCCTGACGAAGCTCAACAACCCGAACCCGTCGCTGATGACGCTACTGCTGAGAGACTCCAGGGAGGCAAGGCTCGACGAGGTGATCGTCTTGGACACTTGTGTCGTTGGAGTTGCTGTATGCACATTGACTTGCACATAGTAAACCATGCTTTTTCAGGAGGTCGTCGTCGCAGAAAGTGAGCCTTCGCTACCTTTGATCGGAAGTGACATCTGATCAGTGTTGCTACTAATCGTTTCGTCGTTCAGGTCGAGCTCCCGTGGCCACAGCAGACGACGACGTTCCCGGATCGCGACGCTCGAGAAGATCCCGCAGCCGATCGAGGTCTCGCCGCTCGAGATCAGTGAGTGGCTCCAGAAGACGTAGAAGAAGATCGAGGAGATCGCGCTCACGATCTGGAAGAAGCCGTAGCCGATCCCGCAGAAGGTCCTCGAGAAAAAGCCGACGATCACGAAAGCATGCTTCCAGTCGCAGGTCGCGCAGGCACAGAGCTGGGTAAGTGTGTGGTGTGTGGGTTCACTAAAAGCGGTTTGCTTGACTCTATTTGGGATATTTCAGAGGAGCTGCTCGAAATCCACGCCGTCGTGATTCAAAGGGAAGATTCGTGAAAGGAAAAGAGTGAATTGAGTCGCTCTGTACAAAATACTAACAGTAATAAACATGCGACTCCAAACTGTTCTGAAACTTTGTTCGAAAGCTGCACCTAAATGTTCCTCAGAAGAGTTCTGCTGCTAACCCAGGCCTCGAATAGGCATGGAAAGCCATCTGGGAGAAGGGTGTAGTGACGTTCGCGTTTGAAGGGCTACCTTGTATTGCTGTGTATTGTCGGAGAGTTGTGGTGTGGGACTCCACCTAGCTGTGCCCTGATGAAACAGCTGATTGAAGGGAGCAGAGCTGCTGCATGGTGTGAAGGTCGACGTACCTAACGAAAGAGCGAACTTATGTTATGTTCGGGACGGTGCCGCGGGGTACTTGCTGACTCCGAGGTGCCCCAGCCATTTTGCCTGACAAATGAGTTACTAATTGAAATGCAAAGTTGCAATGGATCTAAACGTGAACTACTCCTAGATCGTTGCACTGCTTCATCTGTAAATCTGTGGTCACTCTGATTTTGTATGGAGAGCGCCTCGCTGTTTCTCCTGGGTGCTTTGATAAAATAGTACGTTGCAACCGTTGGGTTATCAAGTGGTCGAAAAAATGGAGGTGGTATACTAGTGAGAGTACTAGATAGTGGCGTGGAGTGATAGTGACTGCATCCCCGTGTTTGATAAAGATTCCATGAACGATACTGGCTCTCACTATGAAAGCGGTGAAGGTCGCACAATGTTTCGCGTGAGAAGAGGGTCAAATGAAGGGACAAGTATCTAAAACACACGACAGGAAATCAGACAGTAGTTAGTGGGTAAGGGTCGATGGTCTGCCATACATTTGATTTCCCTTCGGAACCGCAAGGCAGTGCAGAACCAATAAGTACATGCTGGATGGATTGCAATGACGACCGACTTTTTGGTTTGCGAAAGTTTCACAAGAATGCTGGGTTTTTGATTGTTAACTGCTGCCAAAAACAGCAGTTAAAAATCAAAGAAGTCACAGTCAGTTACTAAGGCCAGCGATTCGCGCGATTCGCTAGCGTCCGCGGTCGCGTTGCGGTACCAGCCAATTGAGTGATTCACTGGCCGCGACGCGACCGCAGACGCTAGCGAATCGCGCGATTCGCAAAGTCTGACATCGGCCTAAGGCTTTCAGTCTTGCGGTTCACTGCCGATGTCGGCTAACCGGCTCAACACGTTATAGTACATGTGAGCTATGGTATTAGGTTGGTCCATAAGTCTTGCAGCGAACTGGCTAAAGTTAAATTTTTTTGGTCTATTCCAGTTAGGGGGGGCATCATGATGCAGTTTTTCCAGAAAGCTAGGGTAACTCCGAGCCAGGGGGAGTGTAGCCAGTCTAGGGGGTGAGGGCAGTCACTTGACATGCGTGAAAAGCTGGAATGTTCGAGTTCACACTAGTTCGCCGAGAAACTGCATCATGATGCCCCCCCTAACTGGAATAGACCTTTTTCCATTCATGTACAATAAGCACCATCGATATCTACAACCTATTGCCAACGCAGTAGAAGCTGTTCGATGCCTCTCTTGTAGAAGTCCACTGAATTCTGATCGAAGAAAGATCAGATGTCGATTTTGACGTCATGATGGTTAGGATGAGATTTG